ATGAGGTATTGATTTCACATCTAAAAAAATACGATCGAAGTAAAATACAAGATCAGTACTTCTTCTGATTTAATTAGAAGGTATTACGTTGACAGATTGTTAAACACAGGAATAAACTTGAAATTGTAAAAATTTCAAATATTTGAAATATAAAATATAGACATAAAAAAATAATTTTAAAACGTTCAAATTGTACTTAAAATTTATAAAATATTGTAAAAAGTCTGTTTTATACAATACGAATTATTTCTGTAAAGAATATTACAAAATGTAATTTATGTAATTTATGAATTATTAATACAAGATAATGTTTACACTATTTGAACAGCTATTTATATTATTTAATATATTATTAATTAAATTTGCTTCTCTCTTTGCGCGCGCACGTGCGTGCGTACGTGCATGCGTGCGTACGTGCATGCGTGCGTATGTGTAATCATATATATGGGGCGTTCCACGTCACGGGGACAAGTGTCTAGGCAAAATTTGTGAAGTCGAAATAAAACGTTCGAGGACTTAAAATTTTCGTTTTTATATGTGGTTTAAGGAAAAACATTTTTTTAAATTCAAAATGGCTTCTCCAATATAATTTTGGAAATATAACTAAGGATATTGTTCACGAATGATTCGAAAAACTCACAAATATCGATTTTCATGGAAATCGAATGAATTTTGGACCACCTGATAAATAAAATAAACGCGCGTTTTCAATAATTTTCATAAGTTTTTTATTCATTCTAATCGCCATATTGGAGCCGTTTTGAATTTTAAAAAACGCCACGTTTTTCCTTAAATCATATATAAAAACAAAATTTTAAACCCTCGAACGTGTTATTTCGACTTCACAAATTTTACCCAAACACTTGTCCCCGTTGATGTGGAATTAAGTTATAGAAAAGAAACTGATTTTTTTATCATACGCAATTAGAAAGAAAATCAGAAAAATATAAAGAAAACAAATTTAAATTATCATTAATTTTGATATCACAACTTTTTTTCTATAAATGAATGAAGTCTATGAATTTCTCATCGTATCATTTGACGTACCATTGAATTTGCGTCATACACATTTGATGCTTATCCATTTATCTATTTCGGGGATCGAAATCCTATGAGGGTGCGCCACTCTTTTTTGTCTAATCAGAGCGAAGTGAATTAACTTCAACACGAAACCACACCTAAATATTGTTCGTGTCTCGCGAAGATCAACGATCCTTTTTCACGTAAGTTTGACCTAGTCTCAAATATCGCGAAAATTAGAAAGCTGATACAACTCGTTTATATCGTATCTTCTCTTATCGATTGTATTATAATAGAATTCATTGCGGCAAACGCATTCGGGTCGTTACGCAACAAGTTATTATTCGACTTAACTACTTTTTAAATATTCCGATAACGTATTCAATTTTTAAGAAACTTATTTGCAAAAAGAAAATTTTTCCCAATTAGTTTGACTTATTTCAAATAGCTTGATACTCTACAAAATTTGAAAGAGTATTTTATTTTATTTTATATATACAATGTAATAAAGCTAATATTTAAATATTTTTAAAAGAATTTTTAATTTTTAATGAGAGTAATTATAACTTAATTACTGCCTCTTTCATAAATTACGTCATCCTAATTTTTAGAATATTTCTACTTAATTTAGTATATTTGCTATTTAAGTATTCACAACAAAACTGTCTAATTAAAAGACGATTCATTTTCATCCTATTATAATTAACACAATGATTTATTATATTTAACCAGTTTATTACACTTCTCTAAAAATTAATAAAATTTTCCATGAATAAAATTCGTAAAAAAAATAAGTAATTTTACTCTTTTAATTTACTTGCTATTAGAAGGATAATAAAATTATTCCAGAACGGACATACATATATTCTATTAATTCTATATTTAGAGTATATACCAGATTACATTTATCACTGTATCGTATTTATCACTAAACTTCTGTAGATTAAAAAAAAATTAAGTACTTTATGAAAACATTACTAGAAAAGTATAATAGTAAAAGAGTAATTGCTCATAGGATTAATAATTGAAAATCATACACAGAGACAAAAATGTTTGGTATTTGTAGTTAAATAACGCAATTAAATAACGTTACATTCGATTCTGTGTTCGGTTACAATTATCTTAATTGATTCCACGTGATAAAATCTTTGCACGTACGTCATTGGTTATATAACCTGTGCTATTGTTTTCGCGGATAAGTCTCGTTGCGACGATGTATCGTTGACGCGTTTCCATCCCTCGTGCTACGCCACCACCTCCGAGGGCCCCGAATCGGACGTCAAAAGGGTGGCAGCATGTGTTTGTCTAGGATTGCTACTCGCATCGCGAACAACGC